TCACACAAAAGTACAGTACATGCATGCATCAATTATACTCAATTAATAAGGCACACAAATACCAATAGTTGTTCTAAGAGATTCGAACCGAAGCTCATCCAACGGCTTAATAAACAAGTTAGCTAATTGGTTTTCAGTAGAAATATGTTCAAGATTAACTATTTGAGTTTCCACAAGCGCTCGGATGAAACGATGCCTAATATCAATATGTTTAGTTCGAAAGCGTTGACCATGATTTTTGAAATATTAAAAGCACTGGTATTGTCACAAAACACAGTCATAGTTCCATGTTCAATCCCATAGTCACTCAACATCTACTTCATCAAAAGTAGTTGAGTGCAGCTACTTCCTATTGCAATATATTCAGCCTGTGCTATGGATAATCATATAGAATTTTGTTTCTTACTCATCCAAGCAACAAGATTGGCTCCAATGTAAAAGCAACCTCCAGACATGCTTTTTCTATCATCTACATTGCCAGCTCAGTCGGCACCAGAATAACTAGCAAGATCAAGCTTAGAGTCTCGAGAGTACAAGATCCCATAATCTACAGTTCCATTAACATATCTGATGATATGTCGGACGGCACTCAGTTGAGATTCCTTGGGATCAGCTTGAAAGCGTGCACAAACCTCTACACTAAAAGCTATGTCGGTCTACTAGTAGTGAGATAAAGCAAACTACCTATTATACTTCTATAAAGAGTCTGATCAACACTCTTACATGTCAGATCATGACCTAACTTGACACTGGTGCTCGTGGAGGTTCTAGTGTGTTTCTTACTGTCTAAACCAAAACATTTGACAAGGTTTCTGGNTGGGAGCTTGTTTCAGACCATATAAGGCTTTATTCAACCTATAGACATAATGTTGATATTTAGGATCAATAAATCCTTTAGGTTGTTCAACATAGGCTTCTTCCTAAAGAATTCCATTTAAGAAGGCACTCTTGAGATCCATTTGATATAATGTAAAACCTAAAGTGCAGACAACAGCTCAAAGAATTCGAATGGATTCAAGCCTAGCAACAGGGGCAAAAGTTTCATGGAAATCAACTCATTCGACTTGAGTATATCCTTGGGCTACTAACCTAGCCTTATTTCTAGTTATAATACCTTGATTATCGGTTTTATTCTTAAATATCCACTTAGTAACTATAACATTACAATCATCAGGCCTAGGAACTAGATCCCACACTTTGTTTCTCACAAACTGATTTAGTTCTTCATGCATCGCATTAACCCAACATTCATCGCTAAGAGCTTCTTCCACTTTCTTAAGCTCAATCTGAGATACATAACTAGTATACGTCAGATTGTTCAAAACCATCTTACGGAGTCTCATTTCGTCATCTAAATTCCCTGTAATGTTCACTTTAGGATGATTCATTTTAACGTGAAGCGATGGTTCTTTTGGAGGTTCATGTTTATCATCAGATGTGGATTCCTTAGTAGGACTATCTAAACCATTAGAAGCACGTAGGGAATCGTAAATGGTGGTCTCGTTAGGTTCAACTACCATGACAGGATCAACGCTTAGGTGTTCCAGCTCTACCTCATTGCTTCTAGTCTCCCCCTCACTACATACATCATCCACCACTACATTGACAGACTCCATCACAACCCGAGTACGAGAGTTGTATACATGATGTACGACTATTTCTGGAGTAACCTAGAAAAATTCCCTCATCACTTTTAGAATCAAACTTCCCTAAATTTTCTCTGTCTCTTAGTATGTAGCACTTGCTTCCAAACACATGAATGTACTTGACAGTTGGTCGTTTACCTTTCCAGATCTTATAAGGTGTCATATCAGTTTTACGTCTCAGATAAACACTATTAACAATGTAACAAGTTGTGTTGATGGCTTACCCCCAGAAATGCATGGCAAGATCCCTTACCATGAAGCATGGCTCTAGCCATTTCTTGAAGCATGCGATTTTTTCTTTCAACTACCCCATTCTATTGTGGAGTGATCGGTGATGAGAACTCATGTTGCATTCCTTCCTCTAAACAGAAGTTCTCATGGTTAGAGTTTTCGAACTCTTTTCCATGATCACTACGAATTCTGCACACAGAATATCCTTTCTCATTTTTAAGTCTCTTGCACAATGAGGTGATAATACTGAATACTTTAGTTTTATCCCTCAGTAATTCAATCCACATATATTGAGAAAAATCGTTAACCACAACCAGAATATATCTTTTACCACAAAGACTTTCAGTCATGGTCCTATTAAGTGCTTGTTTGGTAGGGATTTTTAGGGCAAGAATTGATTTTTGAATAGTGATATGATGGGAAATGTGTGGTTGAAAAAGAAGATAAAATTAGTGATGTGATGAAAAATATTATTTTATTGAAGAATGTGTGGTTGAAAATGAGAATTGATTTACTGTAGAATTTGAGAATCCAAAACAAACAGGCTCTAAATCCATACGGAAAAGTTCAAGATACTTGCTTGTCAAGATTTCAGAAGTTTGTTTGTGAGGCACTCTAATCTGTTTACCTTGTTGACATGGACCACAAATAGTGGTATCAGTATTTTCTAGCTTTGATAGGTCATTGACTATTTTCTTATGGCAAGCTTAGACAAACTGTTATGGTTCATAAGACCCAGCCGTTGATGCCACAACTCAGTAATATTGATCTCGACATTACTACAAACGCAGCTGGAATTTGGTAAAACTCCGTAACAATTATCGAAGGGTCTTACATCTTCGAGAACAACATTACCAGTTGAGTCATACACAGTGCTCCTTTTCTGGACAAAGCTAACTTCAAAATCAACATCACAAATTTGACTGATGCTCAACAAATTAGATTTTAACCCTTTCACATAAAGTACATCAGAAATGGTAGGTAATCCAGCAATTTTAACAATACCTTTTCCTTAGATTGGTGCAGTAGATCTATCTCCAAAAGTAACTACACTGCCATTCCACTCATCTAGAGAAGAGAACAGGGCCTTGTCTCCACACATATGTCTAGAACAAGCACTATCAAGGTATCACATAGAGACATTTTGGGCCTTAAGTGCAATGTGGGCAACATAACAGTTCACCTGATCATTTGACCTAGATACATCAATCTTCTTAACCTAAAACATCTCAATTTCTTTATTAGATTCTATGGTAGCTATAGATGCGAAGGCCATGAGCCTTTGATTATCTTCTTCACTAGACGTATCACTCTAAGCACTAGAATCTGATTCATCATCACTTAAGGTCACAGCTAAAGCCTTACGTCTACCATTATTAAAATCCCCTTTCAAGTTAGGACATTCATTCCAATAGTGACCATAGCTGTGACACTCATGGCATCTAACAGATTGAGTTTCTTATTAGCAGTTCTAGAGTCACTTTCTTCATGATTATCTTCCATGAATTTTCTAAGAAATCCAATCTTTTGTTCTTGAGGTTTTCTCCCATTTCTCATCACCTTCTGTAATTTTTTAACGAAATAAGTAATTTCATCGTCCCTAAGGATCTCAGTATCAGTGGACTCCCTCTCCTCTTTTCTAATGGTGTGCATGGCAATGGATTTAACCTTTTTGGACTGTGAAACAGTGAGTTCATAAGTTTGAAGTGATCCCACGAATTCTTCAATCTTAACAGGATCTACTTCCTTACTTTCTTCTATCGCAGTCACCTTAGGTCTAAACCTCTCAGGTAAGGATCTAAGAACTTTACTAATGATTTTGATCTCGGGGATCCTTTCATATAAGTTAAAACTAGAGTTAACTATATCATTAAGATTCGCATAGAATTTATCGAACGATTCATCATCCTTCATCCTAATCTCTTCAAACTTAGTGGTTAACATCTACAGTTTAGAATTCTTAACAGTTTTGGTACCCTCGTGTGTGGTTTCTAGAATATCCCAAACTTCTTTAGCAGTTTCACACATCGAAACTCGCCTAAACTCTTCAACAGATACAACCATTAAGATTAGTTTTAATCCACAGAGATATCTCAGTGGGTGTGACTACACCAGCAACAGTTGTTAAAGGTGGAGCCCATCCATTTTGAACGCTAATCCAAATACGTTCATCCAAAGACTTAATGAAGACTCTCATTCGAACTTTCTAGTAGGCATAGTTTCTTTCGTTGAAAAATAGAGGCTCAGATAATGACTGACTCATCTAGATGTTATAAAGGGTCAGGAATCGAATTAAGGCTTTGATACCAATTAAAAGTTATACAGTTCGACCCTGACAATACCTAGAGGGGGGAGAATATGTATGAAATGTGGAATTAAAAATATTTTTACGAATTAAATAGCAACAAGTCACTTTTTAATTCTTTTCTAGATGTTTAAACATTCAATTCAATTAATCCTAAGTTGAATTACCGCGGTTGTATAATAAATAATGAATAATAAAACAGTAAATTAACATCGGAATGATTACGGAGAAGCCCAACTGAGAAAAACTCCTGGCACTTGCAAGTCAACAATCCACTATAAACGATATGTAACTTAGAGTCTACTAGCCTAGATGACAACACGTACTATCTGATCTCCTGACTACAATTCCAACAACTTTTCTGGATTCTGTGCTCCTGCACCACTCCCAGCTGAGTTTCCAAAGCTCTCCTAGATTCTGTTATCATGCAGCAACTCATGGCATTGTGAAATCATTTATCTCCTGTGGATCCACGAAGAACATCGAGTTCTTCACAGACTGGAACTTCAGTCAAATTTTCTCAATCTTCAGAACTCTGATCAGATGTAGAAGAAATAGTGGTTTGGTATTTGGTTTAGTGAACTGATATTTTTCTCACGAAAAACTCTCACAGATGAAGGTTGA